AAATCCTCTATTTCTCTTGCAGCTCACAATCTCTAACACCAAGACGCCAAAGCTAAATACATCTGATTTTACCGAGAAGATCCCATCTACTGCATATTCAGGGGACATGTAGCCACTGTGCCAAAAACAATATGTATGCTAAAGAAATGTGATGTCATATGAAAGTACTTTGTATGAAATTAGAGATTCTTACTGTGTCGCAACCACATGGCTTGTGTTTGCTCCCATCTCATTCCCTGCAACGCTTCTAGCCATACCAAAGTCTGATATCTTTGGGTTCATTTCTGTATCTAGCAAAACATTGCTTGCTTTAAGATCTCTGTGGATAATCCGTAGTCGAGAATCTTGATGGAGATACACTAAGCCACGAGCAATTCCGTTTATGATGTCAAAACGCTTTGGCCAATCAAGTAATTTGCTCTTTGTTTGATCTACAAAAAAGCTTTCTGATTAGTTGTTTCTGTGAACATGTTTCTGCCTGTCTTAATGTACATGTGTTGACTAATAGAATAAAGCATTGTTATTAAATTAAGCTTGTGTAGTAGGTGAGAAATCCAAACCAAATATGTAATAATCCAAGCTTTTGTTAGGCATGTATTCATAAATCAATATCTTTTCTTCCCCTTGAATGCATAAACCCAGAAGTCTGACAAGACTGCGATGCTGAAGATTGGCAACATAGGTAACTTCGTTCTTGAATTCATCAATTCCTTGCTTGGAAGACTTTGAGAGTCTCTTCACATCTATTTCATGTCCTTCTTCAAGAGCTCCCTACAAATGGCAAAAGTATATCAAGAGAACATATATTTCACAAAGACAAGAATCTTGAGCATAAACTGGTTTCTACAAATTTGCAGTGTGTACCTTGTAAACAGGTCCAAATTCGACCTCTCCAATCTTGTTGTTAACGAAAAAGTTATTTGTGGCTCTTGTTATTGTCGACAATTGGAACAGTTTCTCAAAATCTTCTTCAGGTTTTAGTTTCTTCTTTTTCCATAAGTACAAGAACAAAATCAGGCCTAGTAGAATAATTGCCATCAATAATGAGTATCTCCTTCTTTCTATTTGAACCTGCCTCAGATACTATAACCAATTTTTTCTATCAGCCACTACAAATCGAAATAGGCCACTAATTTTGCATAACACCATCTCCATGTGTTGAAAAGCTAAGGTTAGAAGACACATCATAGGAAATCTCTTAAACATAAGTTCTTACCTAGCTCTGAAGAATCCATCCTGATGTAAATGTCTTGCCCTCTTCCAGACAGCTTTCTGATGTCTATTAACTCCCCAAACCAAAACAAGCAACCTTTCTCCACATTGATTATATCTAGACTTGAATAAGCTGTGCAAGAGCAGTTCCTGGAGCATACTTGCCTACAACCTTCGAGTGTCATGGTCTTATCATACAGAGAGTACTTAGTATCCGGCAACTTGATTCCAGAATATTTTAGAAATATATGTTCCTTGTTGCAATCGAATGGTTTCCTCCGAACACACCCTTCTGACCAATCTCTCTTTTCCCATTGTAGCGGATATTTAGCTATAAACTTATCCAAACATCCACAAACGGGGGAACTATCTATGTCAAAGCTCCCATAGGCACCAAATAAGCTATATGTATCACAAGTATCCAGAGGTACATTGAGGTAAAGATGCCAACTCTTGGTCCGATCCACCCAAATTGAAATGTACATATGCTACTTTGTATTAGTAGCAGTGTGGGTGCCCCACTCCACCATAAACCATTCCATGGTCCTGCCCGAGCTGATACATTTGTGCCACGTCTGATAAGGCCCTGTGGATATCCAGTGGGATCAATGTGAAGACTGAATTCCCCTGGAGTTGGATCATTATTGTTCTTCCATGCTGAAATGTAAAACTCATGGCCAGTTTTAAAATTCTTGCCAAGCTTCATATCTGGCAAGAATGTATCAGTTGGGTCATTAAAGCTCTGCCAGAGGAAATCTTCTGGGTTGCCATCATTTGCATCTTTCACAACAAGATTACCATAATCCAAAAGTAATGCAACTGGATTTTGGACTGATCGTGTGGTGCTAGTAGACCATATAATTTCATTCTTGTCATTGATAAGAGCTAGTATTCCTGGCTTGGTCACCTTCAAAACAACTAAAGATGTGTTCATGAGTGGTTTCTCTCTGTTGGCAACCCATACAACTGTCTGCACATGAGGAAGAATTTGCTTGTACCATATCCCAATATATCGCTTTGAGGAACCATTGGGGCTGAAAAATCCCATTTCAAAGGTTCCACCAGATGAAACAACAGTTTCACCATCTACAA